GTAGTACGAGTCTTTGTCTTTGCTCTTTAAATAATAAGCACAACCAAACTCCTCTGTTGTTGACTCACCAAGGTTGTGCTCACCAAATGCAATATACATAGCGACCACTATCATATATGCATTTGGTGTTAGCTAGAATGGTGCAACCTAGAAATGATCGAGAATTGACCTGATGTAGAGGTGGAGGGATACCCTCACTCCACATTTGAAGATCGCTTCCGAGATAATTACCGTTCCCTCGGGAGGATCCTAAGCATTGTACGACCTGTACCGATGCACGACCACGTCGATTGCGTACTAGTCTATTGATTTCTAAATCTCTTTCTTTGTAATGATAAATCGTATCACCTTTCCAAGACCTACCAAGGTGCTCGTTGGTTGTGAGCTTCCGGACCTGCCAAGGTGCCTAGTGGTTGCGACCTTCCCTTTCCAGTTGTTCTCGTCTTAAGGACGTCCATTGCCCTTTGAGTCTGTAAAGGTGCAACATGTAGGGGTGACTTAAACTCTGAAGTTTGAATAATCTACCTCGTACAATGACTCAAAAGAGTAAAAGAACCCTAGTTTCTTTTCCATAGCCGCCAAAGCCCCTAAAAACCCTAAAAGCTCTTAAGAATGATTTTCTAAAGAACTATACCCTAAGTTTTAACTCTTAAAAGTGTTTCTTTCAAACACTACCCAGAAATATTCATCATCTAAGTCTATCAGACGTTCATGACCACCATTACTATAAAAACCAAGTTTTTGACAGAAATGAAAAAGAGAAAAAGGGAAAAAATTTCTTTACCTCTCAATTGCTTGGAATGAATGCTCAACGTAACTGGGAAGAGGATGAACTGATTTTTTGGTGTGAAAATGTTGTTTTCTCTCTAAAGATTTAAGTTCTTTGAAAAAACTAGGAATGAGTTTAAGGTTTTATAAGGTAGAAGACAATGCTTAGTCTCTTTTATAAGCGACTTTTGGGCAAGAACGTGCTTCCAACTGTAGATTATGACCACGTGCTCCAATCCGTGTGAAGAGTGATTGTCACGCTTTGTGAAAATCAATTGACATTTTCTTTATTGAACTAGCCAAGTGCCAACATGATTATCTCCTCTATAATAAATGTGCCCTCATTCGCATTTAATGCTTCAAAAGAGAATGTCGTTTCAAAATGACTTGCATTTAATGCTCATGGCTGACATTTATTGCCTAGAGACACGTCTGTCGGATAAAGCTTATTTTATTGACCAAGCCAACTGTCAAGTGCAATGGATAACATCTGAGGAGATCGTTCAAATAAGACATTTTTCTCACGTGTCAAACTCTAACACTGAACGAGATGATTCTCAGCTTTCAATAGCAAAATGTTTTAAGTTTTTTGAGGTTGTAATGACAAATAGAGTTCGAAACACATTTTTATAGCATTGGACTGGATCTAGTTCAGGTCGTTAGACCTTTGTGAACTATCACGTCAGGTCGCTTATGTAACTCTCGAAATCCATGTCATGATCCACACTCAGTTTGTTGATCGGATAAAGCTATCAGCCTCATGTCGTTTGTAACAATGTGGTTGTTCTCAGCTGTTGGCTCGAGCAAACATTCCTGGAGACAAGTCAGGTCACGGCATAATCATGAAATTCTCAAGATTCAATTCTTGAACCTTAAGAGCTGGGGAGCTTCTGTTATGCCTAAAAAATCAGGGCTGATGTAAGCTTACATCAACAAGTACCAATCAGAGTTAAAGAAGGCTTTGCGCCATCCAAGAGCTGCTACATTGCCCCAAAACAGAAGGAATACTGCTGTCATCAACCTAGCAGATTCAAGTTTTGTCTATAAGTGAATGAGGACCGCACACTTTGTTAGTATATGCCCTAGGAACCAATCGTGTCATCGGTTCCGAGGCATTATGTTTTGTATATATATGTGAATGTGTATAGTTTGTATATACATTTTATCTTATCAATAGAAGAAAGTGTTCTTATTTCACATGTGGTTTATTGCTTCATTTATATATATGTATTACATGTGAAATGTCCAGATGATACAAATCTTTAGAAGATCAAAATCATCAAAGTATTCCCTACATAGGTAATATTAATTGGGCAATAATATTACATAGTAGGCATGCTGAATGCCTCCGTAGAATATCATGTGATGGTATTGGTGTGGGTAATTATAAAAGTTATATCACTAGGGCATTAGCATGGATACGCGGTTAGTGAACTGTTTATCGAATATGGCCATTTATGATGAATCACATGGACATTTAAAATGTAGTCAATGATTTATCATAAGATCGTACTAGGGTATTTTTAATCCTTAGACCTGAGATATCACGGTTGGATTCTGCATAAACGCATATGGTTCATATGGTGTATAAACATGAGGCTAATCATGCCATGTGTTAATAAGCCGATTTGGCCATGTGTTGTTTATGTGTGAGGACAAGTGATAGTCAAGATGGGATCCGTTGACTTGGTATAGATTGATATCAAGTTCCAAGACAAATGTCAAGATACATTGGAAAAGGGAAATCTCCGGACGGGGTATATAAAATGTTACATGAAAGGTTGTTTCATGGTGACACGTTCCATATGTATTGAATTAAAATTAAGATAAGGATTTTGACATACCATGAATCCATTCTTAATTGGGATTAGACAACGGAAGGATTTGATTATACAACATGTATGATTATAAAAGGTTCGTTGGAGTATATCTTCATTGTGACTTAGGGATTATGGAGCATTGCTAGATGCCTACCATAATCAGTGGGAGTTTTGTTCATAAAGAGTTATGACAAAACATATCGAAATAGTCTGTGATATTGGGCCCACGGCTAGGCCACAGTGAACCTAAGAGGTCACACATAAAAACTAAAGAGAATGAAGAAATAGCCAAAGAGAGTTGATTATCCAAGGTTGGCTAGCACCTACCAAAGGTAATAAAGTTATTTGTATTAATCATTTTCTTTATATTAAATTGGATTTTACAAGGGGTTGTAATTGTAAACAATTTAAGGGTTAAATTGTTATGTAAACAATTTAAGAGTTAAATTGTTAATTGTGATTAAATGTTAATCCAATGTTATAATTTAAAGAAGTTTACAACTTCATAACAATTATGGAATTGTTTAAGGAAGTCCAAAACAATTATTGAATTGTTTACAAGGATTCCTATATAAAGAAAATGATATATGAATTTTTGGGTAGAGAAAAAATCTCTAAGAACCCTAAATCTCCCTCTTGGTCAAATCTCTTCTTCCCTTGGTGTGGATACTCTTTTGCTTAATTTCTCTTGAAATTAAGAGTCTCCAAGGTTGCTAAGGACTTAAGGTAACATGTTCTACCTTACTTATTTCAATTTGATTGAAATTTTTTTTAAACTATGACTATACTTGTTATAGCATGATATGCTTGATTCTTCATGCATCCATCTTTCACACTTGTCCAAGCCTTAGATAATTTGAGGATATTTCCTAAGTTATCAGTCAAATGGAGACAAGGAATGACTTGTAAGGTACCTACCCACTTTGAGATTTGTAATCATTACCTTGAATTCAGCTACTATAAATAGAGGACTTCCCCTCTCATTTTCGAGATTCTGATTGTAATCTATATTTTTAAAGTAAATATAACCTATGAGAAAGAGACTGACTTGATATTTTCTCTGAATAATCAGTTATTGTATATCTGCTCGTTGTTCGCTGTATGTAACATCTTGTAAACTCTCATATATAAAAGAAACAGTGGACGTAAGAATTGCTTTAAGCATCTGAACCACTTTAAAAATCATCTCTCTCATTTTTAATTTTTTCTTTGCATTCAATATTATTGTGTAAACTTGTCCTGACTAGCCTTGAATCAATTATATCGCGTGTAATTTCTAATAATAGCTTAGCACTTTACACATGCAAGTCGTTAGTGTAAAAAACAAGCATCAACAAAATTATTTCGACCAAGTCTAACCACCATTTCCTTTCACAAAATACACTTTCCAATAGCTTATGACTATTTTGCAAATCATTTTTTTCCTTGTAAATGACTTTGTCTGCATTGATTAATATCTCAGTCTTGTATCTAATTAATCAATGATAAATGATTTCACATAATTATTCATTAATTAAAACCAAACATACATAATTAATACGGTTGATTATACAGAAAAGAAAAATCATGCAAATACATGTATACGTAACATGATATTAATTAAGTTTTTGCCTTCAAATAGTTCAATTACGCAACCTGTTTGTGACGTGTTTTCTGTGGAGGTGGAAAAGGATGTAATGAATGAAATCAGCATTAACAGGTTGAGGAAAACGAATATGAACATTGAATACCTCAAAGGCATAGCTTCTATGAATACGGTCTAAAAAGCCTAGAAGTTGTACACATTGAATACCTCAAAGGCATAGCTTCTATGAATACGGTCTAAAAAGCTTAGAAGTTGTACATTTTGTTAAGATCACAATAGAAGTCCTTCACTTTTGAATCTATATATTATTTTTTATTGTCTTTCAATGACATTATAAGGATTTTGCTACATGATATAGAGACTTTAATACGTTCAATTAACTTTTATTTTATTAAAGAAATAACAAAGAATATTACGTTACAAGTTTATGATCTAATAATCTGAATACATAGAATAACAGTTTTAAATATTACACAGTTATAAGTTTATGATCCAATAATTTGAATACATAGAATAACAGTTTTAGATATTATACACATACAGATGATGTGATACATTGGTCTTACCTATATATATTTTACCTGAATTTTGATTCAATAATATGCAAACTGTAAACCAACTTACTTATTACCTAAAACACACAACCTTCATATTGATCTCCAACAAGAACCAAACTGCACTTAATCCCCAAAGACAGTAAAACTAAAGAAAAAAGCAACTCAAGAAGTGTAATAAGGTGAAAAAAAGGAGTGACGTACATGAAAGTAAAATCATAGCTAAATATAAAGATCATTAGTCAATTAACTTCTCCTATTCAAGCTTTTGCTTCACTCTTCATATCCCAAATCCCAAATTGAACTCACTCCTTGACCAGTTGTCTCCCCTTGTAAAGCATTCACATCAGTTGCTTCCATGTTTCTCTGGATGTCAAATGCTCCATCAATGGCTAGATCTTCAATTCCAACATCCCAAAATCCTCCATAATCTTCCAGTACTCCTGCAGCATTAATGCCTCCTGCTGCAACCTCTCCAACTTCTTTCACACTTTCATTTGCACTACTGTTGTTCCCATATTCAACCTTCTCCAGCTCCGAATTCATCCATTCCTGAAGATTCAACCCTCCTTTGTTGCTATCATCTACAGAACTGGGAAGACTCATCATTGGTGGACTGAGAGAGCTCAGAGTGCTATTTGTGGGTGAGAAGCTTCTCCAGGCTGATGAATCTGAGTCCAGATCAATATTTTCTTCAGCACTATGCTCACTCTCCTGATCCGCCCTATATGAACACTGAGACTCATGGTCGCCTCTTGAGTTCTTGTCCACGAATCCTACCCCAATTTCATTTTGCTGGCATTTCGAGTTCTGGCACGCATAGAGAGTGTTCTCTTGAACCTCTCTCTCAAACACACACTTCCTTTTCTCACTTCCATGCTCATCTTTCTTGCTCCCTTCAGCTTCTCCTTCTTCTTCTTCTGCTGATATTTTGAGACACTTCTCAGTGAGCTCCAAAAGCGCTTCTTCCTGGTTAACCACTTTCGACCAAGTGGCGGACTCTCTCGCGGTCATTTTATGCTGCAAACACTTGGATTGTCTCACCAATGTCCTAACTTTATTTAAATCCGAGGACATGTGTTTGATCACCGACGCCAAAACACTAACCTTCCAGGCCTTCTTCAAATCATGAGGCTTCCTATAAGGCGGAGGGCCATGTTCCTGAGACATCCCTTGCTCGCCCCACCAATTTTCTTTCCCCGTCGGCCACCACGGAGGAGCCAAACCTCTGTCGAGCGGAAACCGCCTCTGCGACGGAGCACAATGTTGCATCAGAGCCGATAAAAGAGACCCCAGAGTCGTATCCTGCAACTCATAAAGAAGATACATATTCGAAATCAAGTCCACCTCTCCATCTTCGTTCTCCAAAAGTGGTGCCATGAACTCAGCAACGGCGAGAGGAGCTTGTTTGTCAAAACAAACTTTTTCTTTCCACCATTCTCGCAAGCTATCAGATGAGCCAGTTACAGGTTTTCCCTTTTCAGGAACAATCCCATAGACGAATCCTTGGCCTTTGCAGACCTCCATGATTTTCACCATGTATTTGAGGATCGAATCTTGAGCTCTTGACATCTTCTTCTGCCGGGACGCTTGTTGTCTTGAATAGGATTCAGCTTCTTCGTCTTTGTGCTTCTCCTTGAGCTTTTGCATCCGCACACGATCCTTCCACATCCGCTTCTTGAGCCCATCACAGTCGATCTCTTCCAACTCATAATCCGGTTCTTCTCCTTTTTCTTCATGCTCATCCAAACCAGGACTCAAAGGATATTCATAAATTTCAACCATGTTTGCCTCGCTACTTTTAGTTATCTATACACACCTCCTTTCTTCTTCGCAATAAGGAAACTAGTCACTCGCTTTTCATCTGTATCGAGTATGTGGTATAAGACCAAATTCAAAGTCGCAGAAATATATATACAACCACAACGGCGGTGTAAGTACACGTACAACCAAATATCTTACAGACGTACCACGTTATCCGGATACATAAACTATTACGCATATTAATCACTATTACAATGGATGATTTTGAAACTTTATTGATCCACCGCAAGATTATGAACTCTTGTGGCGTAATCAAGCTTGAAGACAAATAACTATTCACGATGTGAAGAGCCGAGGGGATGAGTTTGAGAAGGGTGAGGTGGGATTTGATGATGTAATTGGGGGCTAAACCAAGCGTGGAGAGTTTGACATAGAAGGCGAAACCACGAGGGAGCTTGCGTAATTTGTAAGCTTCTTTGTGACTGCATGGAAAGCTATTTAATAATGCAGGCAGAGGCTCTTTATCACTTGGAAAAGTTTTAGGGTTGTCAAGACGGATATCTCACATCATTCTATTCATATATTTATTCATTAAAAATTAATTATATATGTGATAATTTTAAGGAACACGTCTATCGTAAGTTAATTTAAACATATCGAATAAGATGAATAATTTAGTACATTGATGTAGTGATTAGGATAGTGTTTTTTTCGATACGAGTTGTTTCGACGAAGTCCAACCACCATTTCCTTTCAGAAAATTAATACACTTTCTAATAGCTTATGACCATTTCCTTTCAGAAATGACTTTTGTATCTATTAATCAATAATAAATGATTTCACATAATTATTCATTAATTAAAACAAAACATACATGATTAATACGGTTAATTAATTATACAGGAAAAAAAAAAAAAAAACCATACAAGTACATGTATACGTAACATGATATTAATTAAGTTTTTGCCTTCAAAGAATTCAATTGCCCAACCAGAAACTTGAACATTTAGTGAGGACTGAGGAAATGCATGGAGATATTTGGTCAGAGTTCTATTACGTAACTTCAAGCTTATATTGACCATTCATTAAGGAAGTGCATGGGCTACAGTTGGTCTTGACCTAAGCTTTAATTAATATTCATGACGAAATTAGATGAAGATGACAAAACATCTTGCGTATAAACCTGAAAATATTGCCCTAATTTTCAACATTGGAAACCCTAAAATACGCTAAGAGATTTGCTTCAAATTTAAGAAATGGAAGTTATAATAATACCAAATACATGATAAACTAAAATAATGGATTGATGACAATAAATTGTTAATTTCCAGGAAATTATGTATGGTAGCTAGACACGTCGATATATTAATTACTCGATAAGTGAATTTATTTGTATAATTAGTTATACATACGCTCATGTGTGGATCGAAAACAATGGATTGATGACAATAAATTTTTCATTTTGAAGAAATTATGTATGGTCGATTATTTGATAAGTGAATTTATTTGTATAATTAGTTATACATACACTCATGTATGGATCAAAAATACGTGAATTAACAATTAATTAATTTTTGTTAACTCATATTTAGTTAACAAATGTTTTATATTTTAAGTCCGGATTTAAAGTCTATAAGATAAGGAGAGCTTCTCGTCAAAACTTTAAAAGAAATAGTTCGACAATGTTTTTAAATTAAATTTAAGTTGAAAGATCAAGACTTTATATATGAATTTTTTATTAAAAGATTGAATATTGATGTACAATTCTATCGTGCCAATGATAATATTATTGGTCCGGTTGTTTTATTATTTCATATCTTATTCCCAAAATAGTTGTTTGTTTAATTATTTAGGAAATATTATTATATTTTATTTAATTACTTTTAGACCCCTTAAGTTTATTAATTTAATTAAACACCCCTAAAAAAAGTTTAAAAACTAACAAAAATACCCTCACCCACCCATAGTTGCCAGATTCCGGCAAACACCATCGGTGGTAGCCGAAATCTGTCACAACGGTGTAGAAATGATCGGAAATAGCCAGTAATTTGCCGATATGGCCTTTTCCAGCTAGATCCACAGTGGACCTGGCCGAAAAAGGCCAGATCTAGCCGTCAGCAACAGCCAAAGAAATGGCCATTGTTGACGGTCAACAATGGCTAAATCTAGCCTTTTACGGCCATCGACGATCAGATCTGGCCTTTTTTGACCAAATCCGTGATGGATCTAGCCGGAAAAAGTCAGATCGACGCAAGATCAGCCAGATCCGACCGGTCTGCATCGTAACACCATTTTTTGGTTAGATTTCGGTGATGGTGGTCAAAATCTGGCACTGTGGGTGGGTGGGGGTGTTTTTGTCATTTTATAAAAAAATTATTTATTGGGGTGTTTAGTTAAATTAGCAAACCTAAGGGGTATTTTATTAATTTTTAAATTTTACCTCGTAATAATCACCTTATTCAACTACCCAATATTATTCCCAAAATCCTATCTAAAATAACTAACCAAACAAACCAATATGATTTTTCATAATTATTTGATTGATACTATTCAAGTATTCATTATTAATTCTTAACATTTAAGTATTCATTATTAATTCTTAATATTTAAGTATTCATTATTAATTCTTAACTTATACCACTTGGAAAAATGTATGATTAATAACCCAATAATCTTGGAGAATTAATAATATAATTTATCCCACTTAGAAAAATGTATGATTAATTACATTATTAATGGGTTTAATACAAGATTCTTAATTTAAGTTTAATTCTCGTTATAATCACTGCTTGATAATCACTGCTTGATTTTTGCAAATAGGTTTTAAAATTAATTAATTAATTATTATTTTTCCTTAGTCAAGAAGAACATTATTTTTCCCAAGTTCGATTCTCCGTTGGACGCAAAAGTAATATCTTATTATCTTTGCTGATGGATGCAAAAGTAATATCTTATTATCTTTGCTGATGATTTATGTCAAGGGCTGCGGTGGTGGTTTGATGTGGTGTAACTTTTCAGTTAACCCAAACACTTTAATTAACCGAAAAAAAAAAAAAAAAAAAGAGGCAGCTATTCGATAGGATTACACCATACACACAAAATTTATTTTACTTTTTACAAACTAAATAAATCACATTCTTAAATGAAATAGATCCTGGCCCTTTATTACTCATCAATTATCTTTATTACTCATCAATTATTTAAATAGATCATAATAATTGTAAATATTATATAATTAAGATGGAGAGGCAACATGAATTTGTATGATAAGCATATGATAAATCTATCTTTACATCAAAATCAAAGTAAAAAGAAAAAAAAATGATCATTAAAGATGACTTTAACATATCCTAAGTAAATACAAAGATATAAAAAAAGTGCAAATTAAATAAGATAATGTTTAATAATTTTGCTTTTTGCTTTTCTTTTTAATAATTTTGACAAAAGCCTAAAGGAGGACAGGCTAGCAACTCATCAAAGATCTACAAAATTAAAGAACAAAAGAGGCCTCACAAGGGATCCACAATATTCTTGTAAGATTTATTAATTGATTTCTTAAATTATTAAGAAATCATATATATAATATAATAACCCATTTGAAAAGAAAAAAAAAATCCCAATTTTTCAAATTAATTTTATTTTTTCAAAAGTTTTAAGTGAAATCATAATAATAATAATGATTAATTGCCTAAATTGTTCTAAACAACTTGAATGATAAGGGTTAGAAAAATAAATTAGAGTTCTTATATTGGTAAATTTTTATTATGACAATAATAATTACATTTACCAACCAGAATTAATTACATATTTTATGCCCCATCAATTTTTATTTCTTTTTTTTTAAGCTTTACCATGTGCATATCATTTTCACCATTTTTTGTACAAAAAAAAATAATAATAAAAATAAATATTTTTTTAATCTCTAATTGTTCAAACTTTTGTCTTTGGATTATTTGCTAAAGTGGAATTACATTTCTTCTTTTTGACCTGTCTGCCAAAGGACCCAATTAATTTAATAATTTATCTGACTCAGCAATTAATCACATTATTAATTAAATTATTCACATGAGATCTATCCCTGTCAAAGCTTCAATTTTATAACATTAACCTCCATCCTGGTTTTAGACGGCCAAGATTCTGTTCCCCCATTAAATAATAATAATAATAATCCTTCCAAAGTATATTCAATGTACAAATTTATAAGTAAAAATGTATATTACGAGCATATATTATATATCCGCCCCTTCAAAGTATGCCATGTTGTTGATTTGTACATGTATAACGATAGTAAGATTATTAAACGTTTATGATAATTCTAATTAAATAGTAGCATAATTAGTGTATTTATATCCGCTCAACTTATCAAATCTGATACACGTGTACAAGTTTACGAGTAAAAATATATATTACGAGTGTATATATATACATACACACATAATGATTACACATTTATTATTATACACTTACGTTCATACATTATTAGATATGTACATAATTTGTATAATTGTATCCGATCAACTAATCAGATGTAACGTGCATATACATCATAATTGAAAAGGTATTTGATTGACATATACGATTCTATTCAACCAAAACACCCACATCGTCGAGTGTAACTAAATATACGTTTTATTGTATTCGACTTATCTCGACTTTCTTTAAAACAAAAAAATATTTAAGTTATTTAAATATGTTATATATACATTATTAGTAAATTAATATTTAATCATTTAACTTGAGGCTTGACGACAATTGACAAGACCTTATATGGAAAAAAAAAAAACAAAATTAATCACTTGCTTAATTAACTCAACTTTAAGCAAAGGAAAAGATTGAAAAGAATATTGAATTTAAGTAAGTGGGACATTACTAAAATGTGCACAAATGACCAGAAAAACTGCAAAAGTGACCACAATTTGGTCATAAAATGAAAGAAAAAGGTTATTATTCATTATTTTTTTATTATAAAAGAGAATCCAATTCCCCAAAAACCAGATTTTAAGGAGCCGTTAGAGGGTTTTCAGGAGAAAAGGTAGGGGCAATTGTGTCCATATGATATTCTTCACCATTTCCAATAATAAAAACAGAGAACATGTATTCTCTCTGACAAATTTTACTGTTTTCAACATTTTCTTCTCTACACATTTATTAAAAGTGACCCTAGTTGGCTATTTCTCATCCATTCACAGCTCTATAATTAGGACCTATCAGAAAATAAATAAAATAAATATGTGCAACAAATAATATTAAGGATCAATTTCAAAAATTATTAAACACCCACCTGTTAAAATTACTAAAAACCTCTTAAAATATTGAAAACTTTCTAAAAATCCTTTAAAAATTTTGAGAAAAAAGTAAAAAAAATCCTCCATTAATGTTAAAAAACTAAAATAAATAAATACAACATTAATTAAAAAAATTATTAAACACCCTCCTCTTAAAATTACTAAAAACCTTTTAAAATATTGAAAAATTTACTAAAAACCCTTTAAAATATTAAAAAAATTTAAAATTTTACTAACATAACGTTATAAATGATAAAAAATTAATCAATTATGATAAATATTCCATAATAACAAAACATTTATATAACTACATAATCGAATTTCCCTTTAATTACCCATATAAGTTGGTTTTAATCTTAAACTATACAATAATCATATTTTATTATCATTCAATCTAAATCTAATAATAATTATTGACTCATAATAAGTGATTAATTGAGAAGATATCTAATTAATTAAGTAATAAAAGCAAAATCTTAAGGCATGGGTGACAGAAAGATGAATCTCAAACAGTAAGGGGTGATTTGTAGTATAGTAAACCTTAGGGGTGTTCCAAAATTAATCCTCCGTTTGCGTTTAAGTTTCGGAGACGTACTGATTCACACACAGAGAACGAGGCAACTCCATCTCTGTTCTCTCTGTCACACAGATTCCCTCTCTCTCTCTCTCTCTCTCCATTCACTTTTTTCTTCTTTCTTTACTTTTCCAACCTTTTATTTTCGTCCTTTTCTCTCCCTCTCTCTCTTCACATTTCTGCACAAATCTTGATTTCATTTCAACCAACAGGCACCTCTTTTGGCTCCTGCTACGTTTCTTTCGCTCGTTTCTCTCTGTTGATAGCTTCCATTTCCTATAATTAATTTAATGCCCTTCAATTTCTGACCCACCATACTCTTCTTTTCTTTGCTTTTCCTCCTTGTTCTTTGCTCCTTGAAAGCTACTCCTCCCCTGTTTCACTCTTTTTTTTTCCTGTTTTTTTACTCTCTTGTCTTACTTGACACTAGGGTTGATAAGTCCACTGAAACCATGTTATAATCCTCTTAAATGAGCTTTCTCCAAGTGGGTTTTTAGCTTTGTGAAGTCTTCTGCTTTTACTAGTTTTAAAGAGGTTTGCTCTGTTTTCCTCTCTGTTTTTAACTTTAACTCTAGGGTTTACACAAGGTTTTGCCTTTTTATTTTCTTCATTTTGTTAGCTTTTTTAGGTTTTAGTATTTGCAACATTTTGCGTTTGTAGAGTGCAATGAGGTTTGTTTCATGAGGTTTGTTGTTGAAGTTGTTTCACGGGTTTGATTGGCTGATTTAGTATAAGAAATGAAATAAATTTTGAAGTGAAAATGGGTTTATCAAGTTCAAAAACTGAGAGAAATGAAGCTTTGCGTTTGTGCAAAGCAAGGAGGAAATTTATTAAACAAGCAATTGATTCAAGGTATGCATTTGCAGCTGCTCATGTTTCTTATACTCAGTCTCTTAAAAATATTGGCATTGGTTTAAGGAGATATGCTGAGGCTGAGGTTTTGATTGAGTCTTCTTTATCAACAATCTCAGCCACTGAGCTTGACAAAACACCATCACATTCATCATATCCATCACCATCTCCTTCACATATTAATGAAGTATCTGATTCGCCATTACACAATGAGCAAAGCCCTAGCCTTAGCCCTAGCCCTAAGCTCAATCACATTTCGCCACCCGCGGCGGCATATGTAAGCTATATGAGAACTGCTAAGACTGCTTCTGTAACTGTTATGATGAATGCAAATAGTGGTGTTAGTGGATTTGTGGATGATGAATCAGTGGCAATGCCTTTGCCACCACCACCACCTCCTTTTGAGTCAGGCTCTTGGGACTTTTTTGACCCTAGTGATGAGAGTGAGAGCTTTAGGTTTGTGGGGCATAAGGGGGGGCTTGATTTGGACTTTGAGGATACGAGAGATTGGGGACAGTTTAGGACTGAAAGTGTTGGTGTTGGTGATAATGTTGTTGAGAGAAAGGGGAAGTGGGCAAAGGTTGGTTCAGTTGGGAGTAGTGAATATTGTGAAGGCAGTATGAAGCCTGAATTGGGGCAAAAAGCTTCTGAAATGACTGGTGAACCTGTGGAGTGTAATGCGGCTAATGGTTGTGGGATGAGCTCCGGAGGAGTTGAAGCAAGACAGGTACGCTTGGAGCGAAATGCGAGTGGATCGGTGGGAACTTCAAGGGTAAATGATGCTCTTGAGCAATCGGGTTCGAAGAAGGAGAAGACTGCAGTGGATAAAGATTTGTGTGCGGAAAGAGAGGACCCGTCAGAGTTCATTACTCATAGAGCTAAGGATTTTCTCTCGAGCATAAAGGATATAGAGCACCGTTTCTTCAGAGCATCTGAATCTGGCAGGGAAATGTCTCGGATGCTTGAGGCAACCAATATCAGGGTTAGAATTTCTGAGGCAAAAGGTAATCATTTTTGTTGATTATCCTATTGCTTCTAGTATGGTAGATTGGATATGGATCCTTCAGCATTCTCTTGCTATATGATTTTGATTTCTTTTTGTGCTTAGTTTCTTTTTAATGATTTTTCATACCAAGTTCTTTCTTGTAGGGAGTTCATCTGCCTCAGATGCTTTGGCAGCGTTTCATCTAGGTTGCTGCTGTCGGAAGAATGGACCCGTTTCCGGTGGTAAGCTTTTGTTGGTGTTAATAAATTTCACAAGCCCATGTAAAAAATACACAATTTATGCATTTACTGGGCCATTTTTTAAGTGGTTTGCTAATCTAGATCTAGTTGCCTTCCCTTTGCTTCATTGGCTTTGTTCTCCAACACAAATTGATGAACACTTCTATCTAACTAGACAGAATGTAACAGCATTCAGTTGAAAGCTTTGTGCTTGAGCTTAGTTTCTTCAGCACTTGAAGTCTACCGAGCAGAATCCTTTATGTTAGCACTTTTGAAAGTGAATATTTTTCTGATTGATAAAGCATTATGTTTAATCAAATGGCTTTTCTTGTATGAAGCTCTTCATTTATCACTTGAACTCTGAGAATTTACTTTTATTTTGACCATATTTAAAACGAATAGGTAGTAGTTATTTATGTGGCACAGAGGAGTAGTACAACTCAAATTGATTGTGCACGGGATTATATTGATTGATTTACAATATTTAAGGCTATTAATTGTATAACATTGGAGTGGTTGGTCTCTTTCTATTAATTGGCAATGTTATATGGTGGATGACATTTCTCATTTTCTCCTTTCCTGCATATCTGAAAGAATCTTCTTTTTCTTTTCTTTGCCTTAATATAAGTTTTCAATGTTTGTGTAGAACCTGTACAACATGTTACAAAGGTCATTACTTGGAAGCGAGCAACATCTTCAAGGTCATCTTCATCAAGAAATCCACTAAACACAGGAGCAAAAGATGATATGAGTGACAGTGGAAGTGATTTTTTTGAAGATTTCTGCATGATCGCGGGAAGTCACGCTTCCTCCCTGGATAGGCTGTATGCATGGGAAAAGAAACTCTATGATGAAGTGAAGGTATTTGGTTGTAACCATTTTCGTATTAAGAGTTGGTTTTCTTCGTAATCCAATGTTTCATGTTCTGTAAAATCAGGCTCCTTCCATAATTCACCTTGTGTGCATTCATGACGCATTTGAATGATGTTCATATTACGACATTTTCTTTTGATAGGAAGCTAGTTTTTAATCCCATTGGATATTAATGACAGTAGAAAGGGATGTTAGTTTCTAGTCGAATTTTTAATGATCATATGTATCATCTCATATAATCTCAGCCACAGGATCTCTACCTTGAAATGATCTCTTCCTTGCCATTTCTAGTGAAGCCCTTAAAGTCATTAGACTTACCTCATAAATAATGTGCCACGGTTCTTTAACATGCTATTATTATGGTTCTTTAGGCCAGTGAATGTATTCAGAAGCAATATGACCGGAAGTGTGATCAGCTTAGGCACCAGTTTGCAAAGGATCATAGTGCTCACACAATTGATAAAACCCGGTCAGTGATAAAGGATCTATACTCTAGAATCGTAGTGGCACTTCAATCTGTTGATTCCATATCCAGGCGAATTGAGAAAATGAGAGATGAAGAATTGCATCCACAACTTGTAGAACTAATTCAGGGGTAAGACTTTGAAGCTTCTCCAGTAGCCATTTGGTTATATAATTTAATGGCTTGTGGCATTTCTATCCAACTAAAATTATGCTTTAAATCTTCAGCAGAAATGGAACTATAACCTTTGAACCTTGTGCAGGTTGATCCGGATGTGGAAGGCGATGCTTGAATGTCACCATGCACAGTACATCACCATTTCATTGGCATATCATTCAAGGAGCTCAACAGGAACCCAGGGAGATACCCGCAAGCAGATTCTGTCTCAGCTCCTGGAGGAGGTTGAATGCTTTGGCTTGAGCTTTGCCGACTGGGTCAACAGCCTCACATCTTATGTGATAGCTCTTAATGGCTGGCTGCACAATTGCATTCTTCCACAACGAGAGCGTTCCAAAAGCAGGAAACCTTTTTCCCCTCGTCGAGCTGTGGCCCCGCCTATATTTGTTCTATGTCGTGATTGGTCAGCTGGGCTCAGCAGTTTGCCATCAGAGGAACTTAGCAATGACATCAAAACCTTCTTGTCTGATTTGCTACAATTAATGCAGCAACAAGCAGAACAGCAACAGGAGAAACAAAAATTACTTGATGCAAACAATGGAGAATCAGAAGGCAAAGATGACGAGAAAAACGATAATGTCTCTGCGAACTTGTGCGGCTTACATTCAAGTTTGGCAAAAGTTCTTGATCGACTGAACAAATTTTCTGAAGCTTCGCTCAAAATGTACGAGGATATTAGACTGAAAAATGATCAAGCTGTAGAGTCATATGCGAGACTCAAGCCAGCCAGAGGTTCTATATAGACATCTTTAAGTTTGTTGTTGAAAATAGATATATGTAAATTTCAAGATGTTGCATATAGCTTTTGAGAAGCAGAAATTTTAGAAGAGTGGAGAATTGAAACTGGAAGTGCCAGCTGATTTATAGGTTTTCATGCTCTTGCTTCTATAAAATATTATATAATGTTGCTACAAACTTTTGCCTCCATATCTCATTACTCCTGTTTTCTTTGAGGCCTTATTGGGGACCAAAAACAGAAAAGGTCCCAGTTTTCCCAGTTCGTGTGTTTGTTTTAGTGTTTTGAGTAGTATTTTTGAAATATTTTTGGTAGGTAGAGTTGGGTGATTATTACGAGGTAAATTTTAAAATTAATAAAAAAATCTCCTAAGTTTGCTAATTTTAATTAAATACTCTAATATATAAAAATTTTATAAAATGACAAAAACATCTTCATCCATTCATAGTTGTTAGATTTCAGTCACTATCGTTGGAATTTGGTGTTATGGCGCACGATTGATTAGATTTGATCGATCGTACGTCGATCTGACATTTTCCTGTCAGATTCACCACAAATCTGGAAAGAAAAGACTAGATCTACAGCCAGAACTTGTTGTCAGCAACTGTCAAAGATATGACTGTCGTTGACTGCCAGATCAACACATTATCGACCAGTTCCGACCGATAATACACCGTTATGAAAGATTCTGGCCACCACCAACGGTGGTTACTAGAATTTGACAACTATAGGTGAGCGAAGCTATTTTTGTCAATTTATAAATTTTTTTGTTATGAGTATTTTTGTCAATTAACAAACCTAGGGGATTTAAATAATTTCTTAATTTATGATATGATTTTAAAAATAAGGGAACAATGGGGCATTTGTTTTTGGAATAGGGACAGGATAGTGATAGTGGTGAAATAATGAAACAAACCCAGCCAAAACTTTATCATTCTTTTCTACTCCTTTCAATTTTGACTGAATTTTTATTGTTTAAGCTTTATCACAAGATCCATTGTTCCGTACAATATCATAAACAACTATGCTAAAACTCTTTTCAATTTTCAGCATATTATTCTTCCTGCCTAGTATGCCAACATGGGTTTTGTCCCAGAAATTCTGTATCATATTCTAAGTGGGAAAAAACGAAGAATAAATAGAGTGGGAACTTTCTTTCATCTATTTTTGCATCCACAATTGATTCAAATGTATCGATCACTGTTTTTTGCTTTCTGTTGGAGTTTTAGAATCCAACATGCTGTGTGTACTGAGCATAAGCTTCTGATTGCATGGCAATTGGGGCCCTAGTAACATGGTCTGGGAGATCGAATGCGTCGACAAGTTCCCCGGCAATATTCCTCACTTGGAAACTCAAGTATTCTGACAGCTTGTGAATAGCCTGCAGAACAGGATGCAAAATTATCAATCAAGAGTGTACAGGACTTGCATCTCCAAGAAACAAACAATATAAGCTGGTTCTGGAAAGCTATGTGGGATGTTTCGGCTTTGGAGAAATCAGGAGAAATATTATAATATTATAATTGATTCATTACTTAAGATATATGAATACCTTAGCTTTGTTAGGAGCCACATAATCAACATTTCGGTAGGTTCCAATGTCATTCCAGATTCGGTCCAAGGCATAAAGATCACAGACAAGCTTTAGAGCAGCTCGAGAACTTGGATCTGGACATCTGGTGGATACATCAAAGCCAAATTAGAAATTGAAAGTCACAAATCACAAAGCAAAGAAGAAATGAACCTCTAAAAGACAGACATACTTCTGGACAGCTTCGATAAACTTTTCTAGGATGACTGACTCAATATGGGATTCTGCGAGTGTGAGAAGATGATTCAAGCATCTATTCCATGCACCAAAGCTCCCTAGGGTTTTTGTGTGCTTGTGAAGTCGCACTGCAACACTTTGAAGCAATCGAGATGTTCGATACTGATAAAAAGAGAGATTGTATAGATCATAAAATAAGTTTGTTGAATACCATAACCAAGACATTTGAAATCAGAAAACCAAGATAACACTCACTCTAAAGGCATCCAATTGGAATTTAGGATCTCGTAAATGCTCTTCACCTTCCCAACGAGCAGTTACAGGATTTGGCTGAGAGAGATATGTGTTCATCGATTCTCTCAAGTAATTCCATGTAACCGCAAATGTCCCACCTCGAAACTTCTCCTTGTATTGCTTCAAAAGATCACCTGCTACCTGAATCACAAAAGTATAATTCAGATCCAGCTGGCATTCAAAGAGAAGCAAAAGGTCACCAATGACATATACTTCAGAAACTCAAAACAGCTTATGATGTCTGTTAGCAGGAGAGGGCGACATTCAAATAGCCAAAGCACAAAAATTACATCTGAAGGGAAAGTTGAAGTTATCTACAAGCACGATGTTGTTAACTGAATTTTGGTTCTGGAATTCTAGGAGAAAACCATCAGTTTTTAAAACTAGCTTTGGACAGGGCCCTTTAGGGTCAAATATTTAGAATACATCACCTACCCGTTTGCATGAAATTGAGGATAATGTAAACATTGTGCACTGCTCCTCTTATAGTTCAAACTAAAGGTAGAAGGGCCTGTATAAAGCAGGAGGGTCCTATTGGGGTCCACAGTAGAATTTGCAATACACTTGTAAACCCTATTGTTGACACGTTCCTGCCTAACATGTATTTGGGGACTGTCATATTTTAGGCCAAAAATATAGAGTTCACATCAACAAGGTCATAGAAAAGAATTTGTTCATAACCTGTTGCAAAAGCACTGTGTTGTCGCCCTCAAAAGTCTGAAAAATGTCATGATCGTTCCTCAGGCTACCAAATCGGTTGACAGCAGCATACCCATGACCTCCGCAGGCTTCCCTGCAAACACTCAATGACTTTGCTGTATACGAAGTCACATACGACTTGAGGCCTGCTGAAAGTGCATGAACATCTCCAATCAATTGCTCATCATGAGATTTTTTCATCTCTGCATATTTCTCCACCAAATGTGCAGTAGCAAAATGTAATGCATAAGTGGAAGCCAACATCGGCATGAGCTTGTGTTGCTGAGACTGATAATCAAGGATGCTGACTTCAGGCTTCTTGGGAGGACCAAATTGCTGGCGCAATAGAGAATATCGGATGGCAATTGTTGCAGAAACCTTGAGGACACTAACTGAAGAATATGCAAGGCCAACCCTTCCACCTACAAGTTCCCCAAGAGTAGCAGCAAATCGTTTATTGATGGTGGGAAGGCTACTTGTGTATTTTCCATCCCGAGAGACATCTCCGAATCGATTAAGCAGATTATCTCGGGGAATCCTTACAGAGCGGAATCTCAATGCTCCATTGTCTACTCCATTTAAACCAACCTTGTGGCCACAATCATGTATTTCAACTCCTGGAAGTGTCTGGTGGGTCTTCAAGTCTCTAATTGGAACAATGAAGGCATGAACACCCATATCAGAATATCTTTTTTTCTCATGAGTCGGTAACATAAGCCTGGCAAAAACACTGGCAAACTTCCCATGAACTGCAGCATTGCCAATCCACCATTTGATGGCTCCATCATTTGGTGTGTTGATTATAAATTCATCTGTGATGGGATCAAATGTTGCTACCGTTTGGAGGCCTTGAACATTTGAGCCTTTTAAGCACAAAAATGACAGTTCAGTATAGACATGCATGCTTAGTACAGTTCCAAAAACATAAACAACAGGCTGAACAAATGTTTAGTAGAAAGAAAGATATAATTACATTTCATAAGAACCTCTAACCAAGTCAAAAGATTAAGTATGATTAAAAATAGAATTATTAGTGAAAGCAAAGGATCAATAACTACATCGAACCCCTTATATTATTTTTTTTTTACATCTTACCTCCAAACCCCCTTGACCCCAGTGCGAGTAAGATTATATTCCAAGACCTCTGGTAGTATAGCACAAACCTTCCAAAACTAAACTAGTTGCTCCCAGCAGTTAATCTTTATATTGATTTAACCAAAGTATCAATACCATCAAAACTAAAGGCTATGAACAAAAAATTCAAGGATTTGCAGTTGCTTACCATGATGGAGCTCTGTCATTGCAAAACAACCCGGATAGTCCAAATTGTCGATACCATCAAAATACTTGTCCCTATGCTTTTTGGTTCCCAAATTGAGCACAGAGCCTCCCCAAAGACTGCATTAGGAAATATTGTAATTGACATTCACAACGCACCACTAATTTCCACAATCTTCAATCCCACAACCACAATCAACAAACTCATACATGCACTCCATGTCAAGAACCCACAAAGTATAAAGTAAACAAACATACACCAATGGTCAACCCAAATGACTACATCAATCAATCAACAGAGTCGTTACAAAATTTGATATCCTTTTCAACTTTCTTTATCAACATACAACTAGCAGGGGATTGCATACACAACAAGAAAATGGAAACAAAAACACGACTCCCCTTCTGAAGCACCAAATGCATATGCTAACAAATATTCGAGCTGTTAAAGACTCTTAAAATTAAGCATCCATATAATTCTCATATAGATCCATATAATTCTCATATAGATCCATACCTTCAAACTCTTATCATTTCATCATAATACTAAAAACATAATGAAGAAATGATACACGAAAGGAAATTTATCCATAGGGCTTTCATATACGAAATTCATACGCGTTTCAAGGATGATATACGATCAAGTTCTTATTTTTAGTAGAACTGAAAAAAAAAATGATTCTTTAAAAGACTATACATACATATAACTTTCAAACACATAAACAAGCATTCAAAGCTTGTCAAATCTTCTCTAAAGAAATATGCACCCACATATTGTTCCTATACATAATTCAAACGTTTCTCAATGCAACCGAAGCCAACATAATATAAAGAATTATACCCTTAGAAATATTAAAAATTACCTGTACTGCACGCCCATCTTGATCCCAAGCGACATGTCAACGCTGCCAACAGCTTCAAGAATGGCGAAATACTTTACAGGATCCTCAATAACATATCTAAAAGGCTTAATCCCGGCCTCTCTGACCAGGCCCATAAGCTGCCTCCAACACAGCTCTCTATGTTCATCCTTTGAAATCTCAATTGGAGTCTGCAACTCCGGCCTCGAGTTGAAATATTCAAACACTCTCTCTTGAATCTCTCTGTCGTTCCCTCTCATGTAACCCGAAAGCTCTGCTTTTTTCACTTCAATCTTGGCCTTGTTGCCGCCGCTGCTGCATGGACACAGGCGGAGGTGGTGGTCGGAGAGCGGGGTCAGGTGTAAAGCCAACCGTTGGATGCGTCTTGCGATGGCCTGAGATTCGTGCTCGGCCGTCGGATTGTCAGATTTTGACTGTGATTCCATTTTTCTTTTTTCCTATTGGTAGAGAGTGGAGAGGTGGATTGTCTGTTTATACGGCAAGGGAAAGGTGCCGTGGCGTTGTGGGCATTTGTACACGTGTATTGATATGATTGGGTAAGGTGCTTGACAATTTAGTTTCTTTTTGGCGCGCATTTCAACGAATTGGATATAGTTTCTTTTATTTTACATTTTTTATTTGAAGGGTTACTTGTCTTTGGATAAGATTGGATGAGTATTAGTTTCGTCACGGCATTTTTTGCTTTTTTTTTGTTTTGGGGTATGTTCCCATAATAGAGATTATTGGCTTTTTACATAATTAACGAGACTTACAGCTAAATGCCGATAAATTAACAACCCGATTAAATAATATTTTTGATCCTTGTTGGCTTGTGACGGACAAATTAATAATTCATTAAATTTATAAAATAATATATTAATAAAAAACATATAGATACTTTGATATATAAATTAATAATCTTTTTATAGATTAAAATTATATATAACTCAATTAAGAGGCATTCATAAAATATGATTCTAATATTATTTGTTTCCTCTTGAAATTGATCTTTTTGGACTTCATTTATTTTTTAACCTCATCTTTAACTTTTTTTAGTACATTAAGAAGTTTTGGTGTAATGTTTTCGTATTGCAAGAGAAAATTATATAATGTGATTGTTGTTTTGAATGTATCTTTATACGAGACACACTCCAGTATAGAACTATCATCTTCAACTTCATCTTATTTGTCATTTCTCACGTTGTTGTTAATAATTTGCTCCTACTCAACAATTTAGTTACCTTGTTTTCTTTGCGATACGATTAAATAATATATCAATTAATTAATAAATTTTCATAGTCACAAGGATATTAATTTATCGAGGTTTAAATGAATTTAAGTAAATTTTTCTTATTTAACTATCAAATATTGTTCATCGTTTGATATTACAAATCTATATATATAGCCTATTGTCACACATTCTCATTCATTGTTTTGCCTTTCAATTTTCTCGTGGGATGGGGTGACATTATTACGATTATGGTGAAAACTAATCTCTTGAGTATTTTTTTGTTAAAAATTGAATTCAAATTCGAGTTCTATGTAATATTCACAACAATTATAATGTTCGAAAAGAAAACCTTATGATCGTATTGTGTGGCCATGTCTCCTATTACAATTCCTTGATTCTTATGAAGTAAGGGAATAATCACAAAGAAATTTTTTTAATAACATCTATTACATTCCAATTAGTACTATCACTTTAGATAATATATATTAAACGTATAAACAAATCTTGCAAAGATTTCTGACGTAGTAGAAAATGAATTTAATTTATATAAAATTCTTTGTAAGATTTGTTTATACGTTTAACATTATTGTAAATAGAGATATATAAAAGCACAAATAACTTATTTTAATCTAAATTAACACAATTTTTTAAGTTTTACAACTGAAATATATGTATTTGTAAGTATAATAGTATATTAGCACTCATTTCTTAATAAGATATAAAATAAGATTAAACTATTATTTAAATCAATAATTCAACAATAATTTTAAGTGCTAACAAGCATAGCCACGTTTAACATGTTAATTATTTGTTAGGGGATTTGGATTAAAAATACAACTTAGTGGTGACTGTAAATTATTAACTCTTGAACCATACTTAATATTAAATTAAGAACATTAACACAACATTACAAGAAATTAATTATGAAAACGAATGTAAATAAATGCACAAATATTTTAATATCAAAACGAGGTCAATACTTAATTTCGGTTCTTGAATTCAAATGCAAATTTTGATAGCATCTTCTTAGAAGATCCATCTACTTTAAGAACTTCTAAAGCTGAATCTTTCAAATTCTCCATACGAGTCCGACTTCTCTTGCCTTCTTATTCATCTATTAACTTTGTTGATGCTTGATTTTAACACCAACGACTCGCATATGCAAGACGCTAAGAGAATCTTAAAAATTACACGTGATAGATTCATGAAATTTGAATATGGTGCTGAAATTATATATGTTTGCAGAAACATAAATAATTGATTGACAATAGGGATTTTTATAGTGGTTCGAATGCTTAAAACAAATCCTACATCCACTGTTATTTTATTATTCTGTGACTATTTCCATGATATTGTCTGTAAAGCGTACAAAAATGAAAAAAAATACTCTGTTTACATAGAGAAATAATGAAGCTCAAATGTTTGTCTAGCTCTCATCTGCCGAACCCCCCATTTTACAAAGAGAGATGTCATTTTATACACATTTGAGGTCAATGTAATGAATGCTTTTACAAGTTACCTTGACACATAAAGAGCTCTCATTCGTCCTTATCTTAAAATGAGATAGGGTTAGTATAAAATACCTTTGAGGTAGTATGGGCTTGACAGCTAGTACATTTTGTCTTTTAGACACTTGTTGAGCTGACATAAGTGTTACAAATTTCTTGATAGTTTTTGTAATTTCGTCTCGAATAATTAGGCGATTTTCATTAGGGTTTACTCTTAATGACACTTCCATATCTTCGGATAATATCGTAGCTTTCATTTTCTGGTCTTCGAAAAGGGGCAAAGCGATTAGCGATACACCATTGACAACACTTTCGAGTGTTGAATTCCAACCGCAATGTGTTAAAAAACCTGCAATCGATTTATGGTTAAGAATCCAAACCTATGGCACCCAAGAGGATGTGACGAAACCTTGATGTTTAGTCGTTTCCAAGAATTCTTTCGTTGAGAATTCAAAATTTGATGATCTTTTATCAACCCTCAAAATTTTTTGCTCACTCATTTGCAAACCATAGGCTAGTTCATTTAGTTGATCATTTGACATGATCCCCCCACTTCCAAATGACACAAATAGAACAAAACCACTTGGCTGATTATCCAACCATCTTATAACACAATCCGACTTCGACCCCTTAGCCTGTATGAGAGGTCCGATCGACCCTGACCCTAACCCTAACCTTGACCCGTTAGCCCATATGAGAGGTCCGATTGGGTAAATGGGTGGGTAACCAGGTTCTCCCATCTAAGCTTTTAACACTTCTCCTTCCATTTCCATGAAGCTATTCACCAAAATCCCTTTAGCCAAACTCTTAACTGTTTTTAGATTTCAACACTCCATACTCTGCCGGGTTTATCCAGGTCAGGAAAATCTCTTCCGCGAAGCCGTATGCTGGACCCGGGAACTCGAACCGGGTAGAGCAAATCTCTAAAGTGAAATGGAACCATCTCATCTAACTTGTGCAAATACAACCACCAAGACAAACAAATCCCACTAGATGGGAAGAAAATGTAGGTCAAAAGATTGAAACCTCTAGCAATCTCGAAGGCAAAATTTGCAAGAGGATAAATTATAAAAGCAACCAAATGATTATTCTCCATTAAATACTTCAAAACCTTTCTTAGAGAAGGCATAGAACGAGACATTGCGAAGTAGAGGAGAGTTGTGAGCTCGGTGTCTTGCGGCAAGTCGTCCAAGTTGGCAGGAGGAAGAAGGATATGGTTTAGGGATGGAGAATTCAGAGCTTCAAGATCCGCTTTGATGGAGTTTGGTGGAAACCCTATAATTGTATTTGTGGGAACAATGCATGTGACGTGCAAGTTGTGAAAGTGAGCTAGTCTTTTGGTTAACTCCATAAATGGGATGAGATAGCCTAGGCCTAGAGTTGGAAGAAGAGCAATGTCCGGTGGTTTTGTTGTTGTTTCCGCCATTGTTGGATGTTATAAGCTGGCGAGGGTTTGCAGGAAAATGTTGAAGGGGATAATAATGGAGATTTGTATAGAGCTGGAGCCATAACTTTGGTTCAGAGGCATGCGTCTTAATTAAATTAGATAATGTTAAATATTTGAGCTAAATAAAAGACAAATTTGAAGATTAGATTTGTCGGTCTTTTGGTTTAAATTATATTTTTTTTCAAATGAATACTTAATATTTTAATAACTTAATATGTATATATTATCTATCTATTAATCATAAAGCAATGATAAAGTTTAAAAAATCATATAAAATACTACAAGAATATAAAAAGAAAGACATTTTTTATTTGTTTGGTGAATAAAGAAAGACAATTTTCTTTGTTTGGTGAGCGGCATTTTGTATGGATTGGTTGGTTGTACATGTAATGAATATATAGAAGACTTTCTCAGTTTTGAAGAGTGTCGGGAGGACAGATCCAGCCTGACGCATTGTTGGAGGAGCTATGCAAGGCCAATTCGGTGAAGGTTTAAGTGGTGGGGATAAAAGGGAAAAGGAAGAAAAATACAAACAAGATGAGGTAGAAGGGAAAGAAACAAAAACGAGGGGAAGAAAGGGCAACTAATTTAGGGGTGTTCAAAACCGGTTAATCAATTTGGTGAACTGAATCAGTTTTTCAGTTTAAAAATTTTCTTGAATCGAAACCGAATCAGTTAAGAGAAAAATCAGTTTTTCGATTAATCAAAAAAACCAGTTTTAATTTAATATTTAATATTTTTATAATAAACTGATTTTTTTATATTTTAATTTAATATTTTTTATAATAAACTGGTTAGTGAAACCGGTTTCGGTTAACTGTTTCCCATATTCTTCCAAATCGGTGATTAAACCAAAAATTTGGTATTTTAATTTCTTTGAACCCAAATCGAACCGGTTTTTTGGATAGCCGAAAATATGTTCGGTTCGGTTTTTATATTTTTTTTAACACCCCTAACAACTATTAAGGTATTATTAAAAGACTTATAAGTAATTAACTTTAACCGAAAGAATTAACGAAATTAGGGCTATAGTCGTAATTTCAAAACCAACACGGTTATGAACGTATAAAACATTTTTGCCTGAATTTTCATCTAGTTTTAAAGAAAATAAAAAAGAAAGTTTTTTAGATTTTTAAGCATGATTGTTCTTTATAGAGTTAATGGCATTAATCTCCTGAGATATGATATAATAACAAAAAATTTCTTAAGGTTTTTGAAATAACAGAAACTTTTCTACAATAGTACAGTTAAGTTTTAGGTATTAAAATAAACGGTGGAATAATAATTTGGTAATATGGGAGAATGACTTACACATACCCAAGGTTTGTCGAAACGATAAATTGGTACCCAAAAGGTTTTGAAACGACAAATAGGTACCTTCCGTCATGTTCTGTTAATGATTTTCGTTTGATAATAGTGAAAAGACTAAATTGCCCTTGAAAGTTTAATATTTTAGTTTTTTATAAATTTAAAAATTTCTAAAAAACCCCATAGGTTTGCTAATTTGATTAAATACCCCAATATATAAATTTTTTATAAAATAACAAAAATACCCCCGCCACCCCAGTGCCAGATTCCGGCCACCACCACCGGAATCTTGTCGGAAAATTGTGTTACGACACAGACCCATCGGATCTTTGTCGTAACACGTCGATCTGGCCTTTTCCGACCAGATTCGCCACGGATTTGGTCGGAAAAGGCCAGATCTACGTCTGGCCTTTTTCGGCCAGATTTTCCACGGATCTGGTCGAAAAATGCCAGATCGACGGATCTGTGTCGTAACACAATTTTTCGTTAAGATTCCGGCCTTGACGGCCAGATCAACCACGGATCTTGCCGAAAAATGCAAGATCTACGCGTTACGGCACAGATCCGACGGGTCTGTGTCATAACGCAGCTTTCCGGCCAGATTCCGACGGTGGTGGCCGAAATCTGGCCCTGTAGGTGGCGGGAGTATTTTTGTTATTTTATAAAAAATTTATATATTGGGGTATTTAGTCAAATTAGCAAACCTAAGGAGTTTTTTAGAAATTTTTAAATTTATAAAAAACTAAAATATTAAACTTTCAAGGTCAAGGGCATTTTAGTCTTTTTACTATTATCAAACGAAAATCACTAACAGAACATGACAAAAGATACTTATTTGTCATTTTAAAATTTTTTGAATACCAATTTATCATTTTGACAAACTTTAGGTATACGTAAGTCGTTCGGCCTTGATAATATTGATTAATGATAACAGTATAAAATTGCTGTTATTTTGTTATTATATTTTATATTAAAATTTTAATGTCCTTAACTCTTCTGATTTAAGAAGAAGAAAGTTAGCCAAACAGTAACAATCTGAAGCTCTGTCAATATCAAGGGATAGGGACATCATGTTAAGGAAAGAGTACAATCCAGCGGTCCATACTTATCGGACCCACGTTAATAATGAGCACCATGTCATCATCATCCTATCACACACCACCTCTCTACTAGGTTAGATGTTGCCACGTGTACTTTCTTCAAATTCAAACTATCAATTTCTTGAAATAATTTTGGTAACTATTATGCATTGCTCTCAGCCCAATTTGAATTGGGCTGACCAATTAGGCCCAAATATGTAATAGAACAATATTGATTCCATCAAGAAGCTTGATAAGCCCAATTTTATTTCTAATTCCAACTTTGATTTTCATTTAATTTTACTTTTTCAATCATATAGTAAAAACTTATATATAAATTACTACAATCTTATGGCTACATTACCCTCAAGATATAAAACTCAAAAAAGAGTTACCTGCAAATTTTTTTTTTCAAAAGTATAACATAATAACACATTTCCTCCTCAAATATCTAAAATAATAATTTATCTTTTACTTATGGTATTTTATAAGGATTTTGGTGTTTAATTTAACGGTCCAAAAGTAAATTTTGTGTAACATCGACAAAAAAGAAAAAAAAAAAGTTATGTTATTATAAAGGGGGTGGAGTTACATTCATGCCTGGAATGGCCATGAAACCCAATAAACAGACTTGAGTATAACTGAAGCCCAAAAGAGGAGGGCCAAACCCAATCATACTCAAGCCCAAAAGAGGAGGGTCAAACCCAAACAAAATGTAACATACCATGACAAACGGACTTAAATATAACTCACTCCGAAAAACTAACTTAAGGGAGAAAGGAGTTCAATCACATATATACATTATAACATCCTACTAAATTGACGATGTGGGATAAATACAACTTCTAACGATTTTTATTTTTTTTTAATTTATATAGAAGCTTATTGTATAAATTCCTAGCTCTGTCCCCGATTGTTATTTAAGATATTTGAGAAAAATTGCAATTAAGTCATGAAAAAATCATAATTTATATTAAATATTTAGGTGTAATAAAGAAATTTAAGTAGCATAATTTACAAATGATATTATATGCCCCACTAGTATCACTTCACAATGATAAACGAGGGCCATTGTGAATAAATTCAAAATGTTACTATTTATGATATAAAGTTTACCATGCTCATAGATTTTGTTGATTAATGTAATGGGAAATGACTCACCGAAAGCTATTCCCTATCCTTCTATCTAATCAGTAATCACAATCTTACTCAATTGCCACTATATATTTTTCAACCCTTTTTGTTATCATTGCTCTCTTTCTAATTCTCTTTAACAAAAAAAAGAAAAAAAAAATTCACCCGCCAAAAAAAATATGCGATACTTTTGTTCTCTTTTGCTTCGAATAGTTTTCGACTTTTGTTTTCAAATGCAATAACCGAATTTTCATTCTTTTTATGTCGATTGTTAGGATTTTGTCGAGAGTATCATAATCAAATTTGTAGTAATAAAGAGTTATCGTTCTCTTATTTCGTGAAGCAAATTGTGAAAATTAGTGGATAGAAATTACAATCTTTTTATCTTAATTTGTATTAACTTCCCAATTTGGCTTAATCTAACTTTCAACTACTCACCCTCATGTCTCAAACATCTAAAGAAAATAAATAAAAGATTAGCAAAAGGGTCATTTAGTAAACTTCCTTTTTCACTCCTCTTTACTGATGTGTGTCGGGTGAAAAATGGGATGAAATTATTATTTTCCACTTTCGGTATGAAATTTAAAGCAATCTTATAAGTGCATAAGAGATGGGTTAATTTCAGAACCACCCTTCATGTTTTGAAAATTGTCAGTTTGGGGCTAAATTTGGGTTTGTTCTTCAAAACCTACCCTTAAGGTTCTAAAAATTAGTTAAAAACCAATCAAGGTTTGACGTCGTTCAAAACAATTTAACGGTAGAAGGGTAAAAATAGGATGTGGGCTCAAACTAGAACACTTTTAGTATGAAATTTGAAGCAATTTTATAAACAATAAGAGACGGGTTAATTTCAACAATCACTTTTAATTTTTCAAAAATTGTTAGCTAGATGCTAAGTTTGTGTACGTTCTTTAAAATTGATTAGGGTTTGACGTCGTTCAAAACAAATTAACGTTAGAAAGGTAAAAATGGAATATGGGCTTAGCTAGAATATATATTATTATGAAAAATAAAGAAAAAAAAAAAAAACCCCACTTTTGGTAATAAAATTTGGAGCAAGTTTATAAGCAATAAGAGCATCTTCAATTATGTTCTTTAAAATAACGAGCATCTTTCATATAAATAAATAGCATTTTCATTAATTTTTAAATATAAAGAACAAAATTTTTATTCAAATCCAATAGGCTTTTCAAATTTAATGAGAGAAAATGTGTTTTTCCAATAAAAAAACTTAATAGGAGAGATAAATAATAAATAAAATACATAGAAACTTGTAATTTATTATTTAAAATTATAATAGAGAGTGAAATTTGACTCTCTAGATGTAGAGAGTTAAACTGACTCTTTAATTTATATTTAAAGAATAAAGAGTCTGTTAAACTCTTATTTTTATAAATAAACTCTTTATAATAAAGAATTTGAACCATATAGAGTATTTTGAAAATATTATGTGCAATA